GGTCCTTAGAATTTTTAATTGTTATTTATAGATTAGGACTTTTTTAAGGACTTTAGGAAAAAACAGTGAATATTGGTGGGACTTTTTATTAGTCCTTAGGTAGAGAGAATCGGTAACAAACACAAATGGATTTCAATAGTCAAAACGACGAACCCTTTTCCCGTATGGAGCGGTTCAATAGCAGCGAGGCACGTGACAGTAAGGACGGGAGAACAAAAGTTCTTATCTTGGGACATCTAGCTTTCGTCCCTCACATTATTAACCCTTTTTAATTTATTTTTCGGCCTAAATTATCTTGGGACGGGTGGAGGGACGCCGATATTCTTGCTCTAATGATGGGCCGGCTTAACCTGTTGAAGGGCCCTTGGGACAAATTCCTTTTAGGCCATTTAATTAATTAATTTAACTATTATCAAAAATATATAAAAAATTTAAACAAATTAACTAAACTTGTTAATTTTACTACATTTTGAAGTTAATTTTTTATCATTTATTTGATTTTTTTTTATAAATTCAACACTAATACAAAGGTAAAAAAAATAATTCCCTTGTTGCTAAAAAAGAAAAAAATTTCGACCCTAATTTATTACTAAGGATTTTTAACATAAAAACCCCTCAACTAAGTTTGTTTTGGGTAAAAACCCCTAAACTAAGTATTTAATGAAAAAACCCCAAACTAACTTTATTTAGTGAATTAAACCCTCGCCGGTCATAATTACCAGTACTACCGGTAAATCTTTAGTTTAGGGGTTTTATCATTAAACACAAAAATTAAAAAAAATTAAAAAAAATCAAAATATAATAACATTATCTAAAAATTCGTAATTTTAATTTTCAAAACTAGCATTTTAAAAATTTCTGTAAATATATGAATGATTTCTTATCCTTGTAAAATGGATTTTTAACGCTAAAATACGTTAATTAAGTTTGTTTTGGGTAAAAACCCCCCAAACTAACAAGTAAATCCCCATATTAAACATAGTTGTAAGGTTTTTATCATTAAAAATCGAAAAAATTATAACATTATCTAAAAATTAGTAACTTAAATTTTTAAAATTAGCATTTTGAAAACTTTCTGTAAATATATGAGTTTGATTTGTTTTAACATCAATATTATATATATAGATTAAAATTTTAAAACACCAAAATATAATAAAAAGCATCTAAAGATTTATTATTACATTTTTATTAAATAAGATATAATTTTTATTCTGTTTTCTTGTTTTTATATTTATAAATTTTGATAATTTTTATTACAGGTAAATCGTTAGATAATTTTTCTTATATTTTATTGGTTTTTACATTTTAAATTTATACATATATAATTTTGATTTTAAGAGGATAACAAATCAGACTCATATAGTTACAAATTTTTTTATAAAAATGCTAGTTTTTAAAATTAAAATTACAAAATTTTAGATAATGTTATTATATTTTGAATTTTATTGATTTTTATGTTTAATGATAAAACCCATAAACTGAAGATTTACCGGTAGTACTGATAATTATGACCGGCGAGGGTTTAATTCACTACATAAAATTATTTTGGGGGTTTTTTCATTAAATACTTAATTTAGGGGTTTTTACCCAAAATAAACTTAGTTGAAGAGTTTTTTTGTTAAAAATCCTATTACTAATTACATTACTTTTTAGGTGGACCCTAAGGCAGGTGCACTGCTTTCTCTGTCCTGCTAACAGTGGCAAAGTTAGTTTAATTTGGAAATCACCCCAGATATGGAATCACAAAGTATATAGACACTTATATTCATTTTGTATTTCTATAGTCGAACAGTTTTATTACATTTAGGGGCTGTTTATTTCATCATATATCATTTCCATCAGATATGTTCTTTACGTAATTCATTCAAATAATTAGTCCAGAAATTATTGGGGCTATTCGTTTGTCCACGAGGATGAATCATCTAAATTGACTTATATTCATTTTGTATTTCTATTTTCTCTTGATAAATTTAATAAATAAATTATTAAAATACTCTTGTTTTAATTTAATTATATTTTATTTTTGTTTCAATATATTGATTTTTATTAATTATCTAAAATATAATAATTTAAACTATGATTTTGGCGGAAAATATAAATTTGCAGTTTTAACGGAAAATAATTATTCACGATTTTGGTAGGAAATTTGATTTTGCGATTTTAGCGGAAAAAGTGTGGTTTTATTGGAAAATGAATTTTAAGGTTATGATAGGAAAATGCAGTTATGTGGCTTTAGCGTGAAAATTGTTTTTACGGTTTTGATGGAAAATGCGTTTTTTTCCGATATTGGTACGAAAATATATATATATATATATATATTTTTTTTTTTTTGTAATTTTGGCGGAAATATATATTTTGGAAGAAAAATGTACTTTGTGACTTTGGCGGAAAAATACATTTCACGGTTTGGCGAGAAAAGTTGTTTTTGCGATTTTGGAGGAAAAATATGTTTTTGTGGTTTTAGCGGAAAAATACATTTTGCGATTTTTGCTGGAAAATCTATTTTGGAGTTTTGGTGAGAAATGTGTTTTTGTTTTTTTTTTTACTGGAATATGCAAGTTTTGTGTTTTTGCGAAAAAATACGTCTTTGCGGTTTTAATGGGAAAGTTTATTATTGTGGTTTGGCGGGAAAAAACATTTTTGTGATTTTAGTGGGAAAATACATTTTGGCAGAAAATGTGTATTTGTAGCTTTGACAGAAAAATGTGTTTTATGATTTTGATGAGAAAATGCATTTTTTGCGGAAAAATGTGAAAAGTACGTTTTTTGGTTTTGACAAGAAAATACAATTTTGTGATTTTGACGGAATAATGCATTTTGAAATTTTGTTATTTTTCATGAGTAACAAAATGATATTAAATTTCAGTTTATAATTTGTCAATTATATCAGACATTATAGCATTTTGACAGAACTATCTAGATAGAAGATGGTTCAAATTGGTTCAGCTTGCTGATTTTAAAATTTAAACCTAGATTTATAAAATTCATCGATATGAGTCAGATGACTTGTAAATTAAAGTTTAAACAAAAAAAAAATCTCATCTTCATCTAGATGGATTATTTTGATGGTGAAACGAATAGTCCCGTAGTTTTTGTTATGAACATAAATAAAATCTCAATGTATAATAATAACAAGAAACCCTTTTGCTTTTCTAAATAACACACATGTGATTTTATATTGTTATTATTTATGTAGATCATCTACACGAAATTAAAGTTAGTGCTTTTTAGCTGATATTTGCAACATGATTTGTATTTTAGTAATCATGATATAAATTAATACTGTATAATAGACTTTAATCATACAAAGAATTAAATAATCACAATTTGTAAGGTATCATAAGATTTCTCAAGCAAATAAATTTACAACACATACTTGATGTTCATAGTTTTCTCATTGTTATATATAACAAAATTGGTAAATAATATGTTCATGCGCATATATAAGATATCATAACATTTCTAAAGAGCATGAATGTAACCGGATCGACATCATAGGCAAATAAAATGTTAATTCCATCCATCTATCTATCGAATCTTTGTATAGCCAGGCTTTGGATGTTCAAATATGATTTTAATATGTTGCTTATGCAAATCATTTGCGTTTTCCAAATGCAAACCACATAATACTTTGGACAAATATTTGAAAGTTAATTGGACTTATTTGATTAAATCACATCCGCTATTATATTTGGGTGATTGGATGCCATAACCACTCCACAACAGTAATGATTTTAATGTTTTAATCAGTGTTTTGAAACCCGACCGAGATCTGAGAACGAACCGGTAAATCGGTGATCAATATGTAATCTGATTTAGATTTTAGAAAAATTCATTATTTAAAAACATAAAATCCGCAAAAAATATTAAAATCCGGAATCCAACTACCGGTTAAATTATTGGTTGAATCAATACATAATTTTAATTATTTTTCTTGGATTTTTCAGATACATTATTAGAATTTGTTTGGTATTCTAATTAAGAAGTGAGGTTCTTAGTTTTCCCAAAAATTAAAAAAAAATCATATGATCATGTAGATAATGAATCTATTGATAAAACTAGTTGATGTGATTTAAAATTAATTTATTTTTTATCAATAATATACTAAAATTTAATATTTATATTGTGCTTATTCAGATTTAAAGTTTAATCTTATCATTCACATTAGAAATTTAAATACTTAGAATTTTAAGTCTTGATATATTTTTATTATATGCCATAATTCTTAACTTGTTACAAAAATTTGATTTTTATATTTTGTATGTGAAAGAAAAAAAGTTAAGTATTTTTACACATGTTTTTAAAATATAAAAATATTTCTTATATTTTTAATACCTAATATTTATTATATAATAAAATTAGGTAATTTATTAACATGTGGTTCGTCCTTGGTCGATCCAATAACTCAGTGTAAATTGTCCGGTTCAATATTTGGATCGAGTTTTAAATTACCGGTCTTAATTCAAATTCGACATTTTTCGATTTTGTGCCATATTGTGATTAAAAAACAAAGCCTTTATAATCTAAACATCTGAAAAATCAACCAAGTAAATGTTGTTAATTCAAGTAGAAAAGTAATCAAAGGATTCGACCAAATTTTTAAATAAAATTAATATTACATATTGTGGTTTTTAGTATCTGTGCCAAAATTTTAAAATAAATTAAATTAATATTAGAGAGTATGAACTTCATCCAAAAACTTTATGGTAATCTACAAAGAGTCTTGAATAGTTCAAACCTTCTAGCATCTTGGCAAACTGATAGCAAAATTATTTTTTTCGTGAGATACAAATAAAGATTACAAAACCAAAATTAAACGTTTCTTGAGAGCACATAAGGTATACAATGTCATTCGATTCCAAAGACTTAGTTCTACCTCTACATTATCCATATCCATTGCATCAAGCAACTTTATATTCTTTATACTCAACAACAAGTTCTCTTTTCAACACTGTTTTATAAGATACTCAAGCAAATTTGTTTTGATCCATTCTTAAAAGATGTTCGTAGAGATGTTCCAGCTTCTATTTACAATTGTATCAATCGAAGCCGCTCTAATATTAACACTTGGCTTTGGGACTCCAGTAAGAAGAGTGGTGGTGAAATTGCTAGACCTTTTAAAGCAAGGCCGAGGACCACTAGTTACAAAGACGGTTGCAGCCACTATGCTTGTGTTGTTTGGCTCGGTTCTGTTTAGCACGATACAGATCAACACAAGGGTCTCTGAATCTGGTGGTGTAGCTAACCCTACTGATCAAGTCATGTTTGCTAACCGCCTCCTCGAAGCTTTCCTCATGGGTAATAAATAAAAAACACCATTTCATTTTATACATAATTTCTGTCTGTGTTTTTGATCTATTCTTGATTACTTTCTTTTAAATCTTGCGTGTGTGTGTGTATGTGTGAAAAAGGGACTGTGTTGTTCTTGGCAATGGTGATAGACAGAATGCATTACTACACAAGAGAGCTTCAAATCACAAGAAGAAACTTGGAGGTTGCAGTAAAGAAGACCAAAACAGCTGCTTAATGTCAAATAATTTGGAGACAACCATTCAACCAAAGTTTAACTGTAATTCTGTACATAATTATCAAAATTGATTCGAATTTTAAAACTACACATTGGCATTTGTAACTGAACCTGAGATACAAACCAAAATTAGAATCTATACTGCATATGATATGTATAAATATCTGAGTGGTTGTGTAGGGTGGTATTTTGAGTAGTGAGTGTCATTCGATCTCTACCCAAATCCGAATGAGTATAGAGAAAACCTGACAACTTAACTTTTTTGAAAACCCTAAGAAAAACAGAACCCGGATAATCATTCAGTAATTTTATTTCATACTTATGTTTATTTGATTTCAAAAAGTACACGAGGTTAAAGTATTCTTAACCAAACTTAAATTTTGATTCAAAATGGATACACGAAGAGTTATAAATATATCTTAATCTAAATTATTATTATTGAATTGGATCTAACCATATATAAAAAGTTGAATAGATTGTATGTAGATAAACTAAAAACTGAAAAAACCTGATCCGAACTCTTTCGAAAAAAAATTCATATGCTAATATCTTTTTTTTTTTTGTCACAAGCTAATTTCTATTCAAAACTAGTGTAATATAAATAAAGAGAAATTATCTAAGATATATACCTAAATTTTTTTGTCACAAATATATATCTTAAAAATAAAAATGATCAAAATAGATGTAAATATATTATCTGAAGAAGTAAATATACATTTATATCTCTATTCCCTATATATTAATTGAGAAATATTTGAAAAGATGTAACCTTAAGTTTGTATTATTTAAAAAGTAACTCAATCCTACGTGGCACCTCTCTATGCATTCTATTTCAAAATAAAATGATTATACAGCTTCTAACTTAAAGTATAGTTTAAAAATTATACTCTTTAGAAATATAATATTTTGTAGGCTATAGATTGTCGCATGTATCAAATATTTATTGTTTCTCATGCTTTCCTTAAATAAAACCTACAAAATTACTTAATGTGATTATAATATATATATGGCAATTAGTAATTTTAAACAATAAAAATTTGATAACAATCTATATATTTTTTATCATTTTGTTTATTTATTTATTACTAAAATAAATTACACAGCTACATTAATCATATAATACAAATCTAGACTTTTTTGTGTATGTTGTATTTCGAATTTTTCAAAACGAGTATAAATTACTAAAACTGTTAAAAGTTTCACATAAACTTTTAGGATCAAGGTTTTATTTTTTTTATTAAAATATAATGATTATAAGACCATATGAAGAAAAAAATTATTTTAATAGGTTTTATGTTAATATATATATATATATTTCATATCCTTTAAATTAAAATATACATCGTACGAAAATAGATACTTATATTTTGATATCTGCATTGAACATATATTGAAAAGTTAATATTTTAATTTTGAAATATGTCATTGTTTTTTAAAATGATTGTAAATTATTGAAACTACTAAACATCTCACATTAAAAAAAATCGTTGGTGTAAAGTTTTGTTACACAAATATGCAAATAATCATAAAATCATATGAGTAGAAACCTCATTTAATAAATATACATATTAAAAGTGTGCTATATTACTATGTTTATATCATTAAAATTTAATTATATATCATATACGATATATAAGATTGATTATTTTGATTTATTTACCCTAATTGCAAATAAACAAGAGTGATAGTTAATTTATATGCACACGCCAATTAATTACATAATAGTAACTGATTTCTTAGTTATTTAATATATATTTATTATTTTATAATATGCAGAAAATATAAAATAAATAATAAATATAAAATACTTATTGTTCATAAAGTGCATATCTTAACCTAAGTATGTATCTCTATAATTATTTTAAATCTTAAGTATTTTCTAAATCCCATGTAACAACAAACAAACTAAATGAGAATAAACTTCAAGATCAATATTTATATCGAGTAATAAGAAAAAAAAACGAGAAAACAAATTGAAGATAAATAGGATTGACACGTGAACGTAAACTTCTCATAACCATATTTAATTTTTAAATTGTTAAATCATGATATAAAACTGAGGTAATTTTTAATTTGTTAAAATTTTAATTTTTTAAATCATTATGGTTAAAATATTTTTTTAAAATAATTTAAAATTTAACTTAATGTTTCTATTTTTTAAAAAAAATATAATTTGTAAAAAAATATATTTTTCTAATATTATTAGACAAATAAATAAATTATATTAAATTAAGTTTGAAACTTTATATATTCTAAATGCAAATTTTCTACCAACTGCTTTTTAAGAAAGCATTAGAGAACTTGCTAATACTCTACCCATCAAACCTAGTGACATTCTCTTCCATCACTCGAACATTGAAAAGTGAAAAGGTATATGAAATCGAATCCATTAAATTATAAGCTATGATCTACAGTTCTAATTACAATTGTTTATGATCCTACATATATATAATTATATAAAAATTCTATACATAGAAAAATAATCATATGTAAATTATAAATTTATCAATACTAAAATTTTATATTTTACTTACATACATTCACTCTGCAGGTCTTATCCTAGTGATTAATTAATCTGGACATTATGATTTAGAATTAATATGTGAGGTTTAGGATTTAAAGTTTAAGATTTAGAATTTAGGGTTTAAAGTTTAAAGTTTAAGATTAAGGTTTAGAGTTGATGAATGTGGTTTTGGAGATAGAATTTCAAACTTCTAAAAAAAAAAGATTAATTTTCAAAATAAAAATGTTATTTTGGTTTAGTTTTTTAATTCTATTTTTGTGATGGAAACTTAAAAAAATATATATGTGAGAGAATTGCCCATAGATAAACCGGCTTTGAAACCGTTATGTTTTTTTTTTAAACAAAACTAGATCATAACCCGCCCGACTGGGCGGGTCTTTGTTTTAATGTGTATATAAACAATCGAAAATTACAATTCAATTGGTGGATTCCAATTTTAACACTTAAGTACATTGTTTAAACATTATATTTTCCATTGTATTATGTAACAGGGGTATTGAATGCCCTTAAGTAAAAGAAAAAAAAGGGGTGTCTATGAAATTGTTGTGAGCCGTAAATATTTTAGTAATAGTTTATAAAGTTTTTTTAGCTTCAATTTAGTGCAAAGCTATATTCACTAAATAATTTAGCTCAAATTTCTTCGTTAATATTTTAGTGAAGAATTAGGAGGCTAGTATATGTCTGTAAGAATTTTTAACAATAAAATATATATTATTTTTGATTTATTCAAAACACATTTAAAACACAAGTACATATATATTTTGTTAAATTTCAGAAATTAAGTAATATCAGAAACAGAAATCATAATAATACTTTGGGCCATACTAATGTTTAGATTAATAAAAGTAAGCCCATTAGTCCTTTAAGTTTCTGTTAGTTTTTTTCCGGGAAAAACATATATTGTGCTCATGACCTCTTAAAACGATTTGTATCTATGAAAACAGAATAAATCTTCAAAAACTTTCTTTTTTTCTGAGTGAACCGTCATACATAGAGATCGACGAAGCTTACTACAATAGCCATAGTAGTTTGTCGTCTGTAACAATAGCCATAGTAGTTTTTTTTTTATTGTTAGGCGTACAGAAATGTTAGGATGATAGAAGACTATTTATTGGTAAGAGGTGAAGGGTGGTTTATATTGGTGCTAACTTTTAGGTATAATGACGATGGAAAGGTATATTCTGATTCCCAAATATGATCATATCGTTAGCATATTTTGATTTGCAAAAGAGTAAAAATTTAGATTTGCATTTTATCCATGTTTCCAAACAGAATTTTAAGTATTTCTTATACATGTTTCCAAATACTAAATTTTTGTACTTCAGCTTTAATAGTATAGACTAGATTTTGACCCGCGCGATTGCGCGGGTGTTTGTTTTCGTTTATAGTTAGTTATATAAACATTTTTTTTCACTTGTAAATTGGTATATATTATAGTAATCAAATATTTATGATATGTATTGTAAATTTTTATCAAACATAATAATATAATATAATACGTGTTTTAATCAAATAGATTGTTTCAAATTTTCTATATTATACATGTTTTTCAAAAATGTGTTTGTTTCTTCTTCTATATTTTATTGTTTGTTAGATTAGTAATTCATTTAGATAAATTAATATAAATAGAGCTTGATTAAATATTAGTATACTTAAATTTGCAAAGATAATATAACCTTCGAAGAATTTTTGCTAAAAACTAAACTTATAGCTTCATAAATTAATATTATAAAGAATTTTATTTAAAAGAATTTTTTAAAAAATTTCTTTTTTAAAGCAATATAATTTTAAAAATTTACGTCGAAATAAATCTATCTAGTATACAGTATATAGCGTGTAAATTTTGGTATGGTATATAAATATTCCATATTACTAATCTGTGGTTTTTGTTAATATATTGTTGATGCATTTAACTATTATTGACATATTTCCTTATAAATAATAGAAGATTCCTAAACTTATATCTATTGACATATTTTACGTGACTAAGTTGGAAGATGTGAGGTAATTTACCAAAACCAAATTGTTAAGCGTATCTTTGTTATTATAGATATGATTTTTCATAAGATATTATAATGATATAATTATTAGAGAGTTAATGTAACATAATTTTCTAGTAATAGTCCATTTTTTAAAAAATAACACATGAAGTCAAGTTATGACTTCTGTTTTAATATATAAGATAAATCGTTAGTCTAGACTTCACGTTGTTCCGACTAATCGGTTTTAAGATTGAACCGGTTTTTTACTGATTCCAGTTTGGTTCAAGTTCAAGTCCAAACGATGAGTGAACTCGTAGTCAACGAGTTAACTCAAAAAAACCTCTTATCCTTAAACCCTGACTGTCTATTAAACAAATCTCTGAGCAGCTCTCTCTGGCCCCAACGCAAAAAATGGTTTCCCTCTCTAATCAAACCACGTTTTCTTTCTATCCAAACAACCTTTTCGTTTCCGACAAGACCCGCCTGGGAGTCACCGGACTCAACTTCCCCAGGAAAATCAAGGTGAAAGTCACTTGCTTCGCAGCCGACCAACCACGCCAACAAAAGCAGCAGAAGAAGAAGAAGAGTCAGAACACTACTAGCGATTCCGATTCTGGACTCGACCCTGTTGGGTTTCTCACCAAACTTGGAATCGCTGACAGAATCTTCGCCCAGTTTCTCCGTGAAAGGTAAATAAAATTGCTCTTTTTTTAAAGGTAAATAAAAGGCTAACTTTGATCAGAAAATGGAGAAGAAATAGTTTAAAGCTTTAATCTTTATACGCAAAATTCTCATAGAGACACTCTAAAACACATCTTACACTACAGTTGATTTACAAAGTTCGAAACTTTTAGCTCTTTGCTACACTTATCTGTATAAAAATGCAGAAGAAAGCGCTTAAAGTTGTAAATCTTTGCTTTAGTGATCTATATAAAGCTTGTTCCTTTGTTGATTCTGTAGGCATAAAGCTTTAAAAGACCTTAAAGATGAGCTTCTCAAACGCCACTTCGATCTCAGAGACCTTGCTTCAGGGTATGTATCTCACTTACTATTACCCTAGCAAGATGGTTTGAGTCTTAATGAACTACATTCTTCTCCGTGTAGGTTTGAGTTACTAGGGATGCATAGACACATGGAACACCGTGTTGATTTCATGGACTGGGGTCCAGGTTCCGTCTCCTAACTCAAATCTCACAACTTCATTACTCAGTTTCTCTACTTAACTCTACACTAACTCCAGGTGCTCGCTATGGTGCTATCATCGGAGACTTCAACGGATGGTCTCCAACAGAACATTCCGCTAGAGAAGGACTATTCGGCCATGATGACTTCGGTTATTGGTTCATTATTCTTGAAGATAAGTTAAGAGAAGGAGAAGAGCCAGACGAACTATACTTCCAGCAGTACAACTACGTCGATGACTATGATAAAGGAGACAGCGGTGTAACAGCGGAAGAGGTTTTTCAAAGAGCTAATGATGAGTACTGGGAGCCTGGTGAGGACCGGTTCATTAAGAACCGGTATGAAGTTCCTGCGAAACTGTACGAGCAGCTGTTTGGTCCTAACAGTCCACAGACGTTAGAAGATCTAGGAGATATACCGGATGCAGAGACGAGGTATAGGCAGTACAAAGAGGAGCATAAGAATGATCCTCCAAGTAATCTACCTCCATGCGACATAATTGATGACGGTCGAGGAAAACCATATGATATCTATAATGTCGTAACATCTCCGGAGTGGACTAAGAAGTTTTATGAGAAGTCACCTCCGATTCCGTATTGGTTAGAGACACGTAAAGGAAGGAAGGCTTGGTTGGAAAAATACATTCCTGCTGTTCCACATGGAAGCAAGTATAGATTGTATTTCAATACTCCTGATGGACCGCTTGAAAGGGTGCCTGCTTGGGCTACTTATGTGCAACCAGGTATAGATAGCATCTGCTATCTTTATCTGTTATGTTGATATTTCCAGGATAATGTAGCATTTAATCACTGATCTCTGAACAGAGGACGAGGGAAAGCAAGCTTATGCAATTCACTGGGAACCTTCTCCTGAATCTGCATACAAGTGGAAAAACTCTAAGCCAGAAAAACCAAAGTCCTTGCGCATATACGAGTGTCATGTTGGAATCAGTGGGTCTGAGGCAAAAGTTTCATCTTTCGAAGAATTTACCAAGAAGGTACCTTACCTCCTAATGCATCTATTGTGTTCTTGCAATCTCGTTATGCAGACATCTTAGTCTTTTCTGTGGCTTATGAAACATCAGGTCCTTCCTCATGTGAAAAGAGCAGGATACAATGCAATTCAGTTGATTGGCATCCCTGAGCACAAGGATTATTATACTGTCGGTTATAGGGTCAGCAGGCTAATCCTTTCTCTTTAACTTATCTTTTGTTGTCGTCTAATTGACTGATTCTATCCGTATAGGGCTACTGCTGATTTTTATTTCATCTTTGGCTTCGTTGTCTATTGTGCATTATAGCTTTTGGAAGTTCTTTGCATAATGATTTGGAAAAAGAGAACAATAGAAAGTTGTGACAGAATGGAGAGAATAGGTTGATTGATATGAAGTGAGAATAAAATAACTTGACCTAAATAGAGAGAAACAATTTGTTAGGGGGCAATGTGAATTTCATTTAATCATGTCTTTCCTGCTAGTAAGATTTGAGTATGCAAATATGAAGAAATAACAGTTATGGAACTTGAACCAAGTTCATAACCAGATTTACTATTTCATTATTTTGTTTGAATGTAAAATATATCCCAGCTTTTCACCAAGTGTTAAAGAAATTACTAGTTAATTCATTAATATCTTTGACATGAAAATGATTGAACTTATGAAAGGTTGATATTCCTTTCCTCATTTGCCATAATTCGTATCCATACCATTTCAGGTTACTAATTTCTTTGCTGTCAGTAGCCGATTTGGAACCCCTGATGACTTCAAACGCTTAGTTGATGAAGCACATGGTAAGTATTTCTCCCGTCTCTTTTAACGTTGCAGAACCTTGAGGTCAAACATGTTGTTGATGAACATATAATAAACTGAACTAATATACATACAGGCCTAGGACTCCTTGTCTTCTTAGACATTGTGCATTCTTATGCAGCAGCTGATCAGATGGTTGGGCTTTCGCTTTTTGATGGTTCAAACGATTGCTATTTTCATTATGGTAATATTCCATAACAGCAATTTACTCTTAATATCTTACATGCCTTTGGATGTTCAAACAGAATTCTGGCATTCCTTTATTTTAACTTGTTGATGGCCTAGTCATCGCTATGTATATTCATATCCTTCTGAAGTCTAAAGCTGGCCTCGAGTATGTTCGATATAGTTGAATATGACTAAGCATTTCTTATAACACCATGTTCCATTTTTCATCTTGCAAATAGGTAAACGGGGGCATCACAAACACTGGGGCACACGGATGTTCAAATATGGCGACTTGGATGTTTTTCATTTTCTCATTTCAAATCTGAACTGGTAAAGGCAACCACATAGCAATGTGGTCTGTGAATAATGTATTGGGTGTACTCACTCTTTTGGTCTAGTAGAAAAGTATCTTGTGCTTCGTTGGGATAGGAGCCTTATGCTGCTGCAATTGGATTTTGTAGGTGGATTACAGAGTATCAAGTTGATGGTTACCAATTTCACTCGCTTGCATCGATGATCTACACGCACAATGGTTTTGCTCCTTTTAATAGCGGTTTTGATGAGTAAGACATCTACATTCTTTAGATGCTTTGTGTAATTTGGATTTTGGTGACAGTTGGTCAAATTGTTGAGAATGTTTGTCCTTCTGCAGCTATTGCAATCAGTATGTTGACCGAGATGCTCTGATGTACCTCATTTTGGCCAATGAAATCCTGCACGATCTACATCCAGATATAATAACAATTGCTGAGGATGTAAGCGACACATTATTCTTCTTTTGTCAATAAGTTACACATCATTTAAAGCATAGTTAGGCTGGGCATATAGCGCTTAGGCATTGCTTTCAGTTTAGCCATATTTTGTTTAAGATGATGAGTAATAGATAATTTTGTTTAAATCTTCACTAAGGAACTTAATGAAGTTTCTTTTGCTATTAGGCAACATATTACCCTGGGTTGTGTGAGCCAGTTTCTCAAGGTGGACTAGGATTTGATTATTATGTGAACCTTTCTGCGACAGAAATGTGGGTTTCTCTCCTTGACAGCGTACCGGATAGTGAATGGAGCATGAGCAAGGTCTTAGCTTTTTAAATTTAATTGTTAGATATGACAGAACAAGACTTTGGTCCCTTTCTCTGATGATTGGCCAGTGCTGCAGATTGTCAGTACATTGGTGGCTAACAAAGCGTATGCAGACAAGATGCTCAGCTATGCCGAAAGTCACAACCAAGTATTTACTCTATAACTTTAGATGTCTAAACCTATATCTACTATAACAATTTATTTTAGGTTGCATTGACAATGTTTTGTGTTCTACTTTCCCGACTAGTCCATATCAGGAGGGCGTTCATTTGCTGAAATCTTGCTTGGTGGAGTCCAAAATGAGATTAAGTTGCTGCACAGGGGCGTTTCACTGCATAAGGTACCCCTTTCTTTAGATATCTTCTACTCCTTTACACGCTACATCAACAATTTAGCATACTTCTTATCTACACCTTATGGGAGGAAACAAATACAAAATTCATTTAGCTGGATCCAGTTCCTTGGGTGCTTTTCATGCTTTTATTTCACTTAGGTTCTGAAAGCTTTGTTTCTTGTCTTTGTTTAAACCAGATGATTAGACTTCTAACGTTTACAATTGGTGGCCGTGCTTACCTCAACTTCATGGGAAATGAATTTGGACATCCTGAGGTAACTCTCCATGTTCTTACTGTTCTAAAGACATCATCTTCATGTGTCTGACTTGTTATATTTGTGTGTCAGAGGGTTGAGTTTCCTACACAGAGCAATAAATTATCGTTTTCACTGGCTAACCGCCGCTGGGACCTGCTGGAAAGTGAAATCCATCATCAGTTGTTTTCCTTTGACAAGGTACCTTCCGTGACATTTCTTTATACAACTACTGCTTCTATATCCATCAATTTGATAGCCTCTCTGGAAAACCGCTTGTGTATGTAAACGGTCGTAACAATTCAATACTGTACTGGTCTATGAAGGAGGCGATTGAATGTTATACTCGAGAACTTGACCTTAAAAAGATTTACTGCCGATGATGCTCACTGGCGACTAATTGTATATCTATATCTTGATTTCTTATAAACGTACACATCCTTGTTAAAATTGTACATCTATACATGTAAGGAGTAGAAAATGTTGCAACCCTATTTGCTCTTGGATCAGAAGAAATGCTTCATAGTTACTGATCTTAGTTTATATTTGTAGGAACTAATGGACTTGGATAAAAGCAAGGGCATCCTTTCAAGAGGTCTGCCCAGCATCCACCATGTTAATGATACAAATATGGTATTTGACTCCTTTTGCTTGCTTTTTTCAACTTAAAATTATTTGGATCTCAGGATATAAACCAGAAGATATATATTCAAAGTGACCAGTGGCAACTAGTGTTTGCATATGCTTTTATATACACATTTACAGAACTACGAAATTAGTAATCAACAGTATGCTTAGCAAAATGACAAATATGCATCAGGAATGAAATGGTTTGGACAATGTACTTACTATTCATCATCTACAGGTAATTTCATTCTCGAGGGGTCCTTTCTTGTTTATCTTTAACTTCCACCCGTCGAATTCATATGAAAAGTATGGTGTCGGCGTAGAGGAAGCTGGTGAATATACAGTAAGTTTTCTGTATATATATATTTTTACCCTTCATGCATCATGATAAAAGCCTATAATTACTGTAAGGTTTTCTTATGCATTTCACCTGGGAATATGACCTGGATTCTGCAGATGATACTGAACTCTGATGAAGCGAAATATGGGGGTCAGAGACTTCTAACGGAGGACCAGTATGTTCAACGGTCGATTAGCAAGAGGTCTTTAGTTTTCACATAGTTTATTTTTAAAAGTTCTAGTTCTCCTTGAAATAAAATGTGGTCTGTTCATCATTCTGAACCAAATCCTCGTTTGTGCAGAATTGATGGTCAAAGAAATTGCTTAGAGGTGTCTTTACCTAGCAGGACTGCACAAGTCAGTTCTCTCTCTCTCTGTTACTTACCATTTACAAGTTCAAACATTGATTTTAAACTCGACTTTTATATTTCTAGGTTTACAAGTTGACTCGTATTCTCCGAATATGATCCCCTCCCTATGTATGGCGCATACAAGCACCAAACGTGTTTTTTTATGAGAAGCTAGCTCTGAACCCAAGGCTGTCGATAGACTGACATGGCTCTTGCAAGCAGTGATTGGAATTGAGAAGATTGTCGATCATGGCCTTCAGATGAGAGAGATGAAGATCCAAGAAAACGAATCTGATGAACCAGCTGCATGTAATAGAAACTTAACATATCAACATTTTTATGGCTTTGACTGAGGCTATGTAGTAAAAAAATTAGGTATATGCTCAACTTTGAGCCTTTGGTAGTGGGTATATAGATCAGTTAATATATTTCTCAACGAAACATCTGCTTTCCGCAAGTAACCCAGCTGCTTAGTTATATAAACTTATAATTGTTCACCCAGTAAAAAAAAAAATCCAAGGCAAACATTTTATAAATGAGTTTAAACAGAAGAGTCTTGTGTTTGTTCTTCTGAAGCATCCACAGGTACTCCTCCGAAAAGGTCATCATATGAAACAGGTACTCTGATCCTCTCATGAACTGATTTCCTTTCTTTTTGCGGGTTAGATTCAGTCTGCTCAGCTACCGGCATAGCACACATCTCACTGACCAGAGCTTCATCAGAAGATGCATTTGCAGAGGCAAGTCCTTCAGAGAAGCTACCCTCATCTCGTTTCGGCCCTGACTTTGGTCTCGTGTTTGGGTACCTAAATTGCTTCTGCAAAGTTTGAGTAGTGTAAGAGAAAGGGAGAAGAGAGGCGTAGGAAAGAAAACATGGCATAGCATAATCTCCACGATTCTACAATTACGCTAAAGAAAACAGGATATATCAAAGAATGTTGTGGTAGTCTAATGAGCAATAAGAACAAACCTCAAACTCCCTGGTCTTTTTCATTATCTCTCTGTAAGATGCGGGTTGTCTCGCTTTGATGATGTTCCACAACACACCACCTCCTGATCGTTTCCTACTGCCATCTGCAGTCACCTGACCACCACATGTCTCGATTGCTTCCACCTGAGACAAACATACAACTCTTGCCATTACCAATCAAGGAATCATATCTCAATAACGGAAGATAAATATTTAGAACCAAGTTCAAGCATATAGAACGAGAAACAAAGGAAAATCCACAAATTTAGACAGTCATCTCTCGATAATGACAATATTGTTTGACACTGTTGATCTCACTCCACTCGGTAGTCATAGATGAAATGAAATGACACTGTGCGTTTGTTAAAAAAACTTCATCTATCTACCCACACCAATGTGTACAAGAGGGAAAAAGAAAATCAACCTAACATATGAAGAAGTCGCCAGCTATATTTCAGGACGATGCACAGTATCTGAAACAAGGTTCCAGACTAGAAACATCTTGAAGGGCAGGTGAAACAATATAGCCAACACAAGATTACCACTTATACTGGTCATACTTAGCCTCGTTCTCTCATAAACAATAAACAGATCAAGCAAGATTCAAACTGAAATAGCATAGAACGCATCTTGAATTTAAGTCATATCGTATTAATACCTCATTGACAAGATCAGTCAAGGCAGGAATTCCAAGACACCCAACAGCTGTGTATACCATGTAAGACTTCTTCTCCTTGAGGCGTCTACAAGTATCCCTGACAAACCTGCCATAACATATAATGTTTCAACCATATCCAACATAATGAACACGAACCTTCAATATCATACACTACGTCTGAAAAACCAGCAAGTGTTACAGAACAACAAAGACGTAGAGAAATGCATTCAGATATACCTGTCTAAATCCATGGGCTTCCCCATTACAGGACCGTTCCTTCTCTTCTTCTTCTTATTCTTCTTCCTCTTGTTCTTGTTTGGCTGACTCTGCCCATCCTTCTTGCCCAAAAGCCCTTCTTTATCCTTGTCTCCACCCATTTCACCATCCTGTCTCTCTCCAGAATATAAGTCATGCTCACCAGCAATCTCTCCTTCTTCCACATCAACCATGTCAACATCTTCCATGGTCTCAAATCCGTCTTCATCTTCATATATAGCATCTAACACACTCTCTTCTCCCTCCATGATCAAAACCTATAATTCCAACATCAACAAAAATCAAACACAGCCTCACATAACAACAACAATCACTTCTGCTTCTACAAACACTAAACCACTCAAAAGAAAACTCAAACCCATTTTTTAAACGATTTTGAATACATGATTCCTCCAACAAAAATCGCTCTACGACATCAAAGGAACGATCTTTATAATAAATCGCTAAAAAAAAATCTAAAAATCAATACTTTTTACATGAAACCAGAGATAAAAAGAGACGGAGCTAACCTGGAAACACCTTGGATCTTCTCTGAGCTATTTACTTGAGATATGATCAGAGAACAGACCTCATCGACCCTATACTGAGGAAGAAGACAACCATCCGTTTAGGGTTTAAGACTGATTTTATTTATTCCCCCTTTGATGACGACGACTCATATTTAATAGCTTTTATTTTTTTAATACATACGCGTTTAAGATGTCTGTTTAAATTTAATTTTGAAATTTGAAACTTCTTTTTCAAACAATTTTTAAAATTTTTTATTTTAAGTATATATTTATTTATTTTTTAAAAGTCATAAACTTCACTATCCAAAATTTCACTACTTAAATTTAAATTTTAAATCATAATTAATTATCGTATTGGATATAACTTTTTATTTACATCTTTAAACTTAAAAGTAAACAAGGTTGAATAAATATGAAAGCAGTATGCCTCAGCAAAAATCAGATCCAAATATCCTAATCAGGAATCCAAAATAACCAAACTTGTAACCGGCTTAAACTCTATAGATACTTATATGAGTTCAAAATTGAAAAAATTACACTACAAGACAGTTTTAAGTTTTAAATATCATCATAAGTCACTTTCTTCTCCTCAGACACTTTTTCTTCTTCCAATATACGGTTCACTCTTCCCAATTCATGAATCACTTGCAATCTAACTAAAGTCTAACTAAATAATAAAATATTATTTTTACATTATTTTTTGTTTTCTATCTCTCTTCTTCGTCTTCTTCCTTCTAAATTTACTATTTTTCTCTAAGTTAAAATCTAATTCTTCAGATTGTTTCTTTAAAGGACTTATATATAATTATTGTCTCTGTTTCTTAATCTATTTTTTTAAAATAAATCAAGATATATCTCTGTAATAGTGTAATAGTGACATATATGATAACGATATCAACGGCATATGTGTAATCAACTTTGGCATAGCGACGGTGGAGACAAGACAGAAGACCCATCATCCAACGATGGAAATACAGTTAACATCACTAACCTTCTTCGTGGGTGGAATTATGCTATGTTGTCTTTCATCTGTCTCTTTCACTGTTCTCTGTCATCTCCACCATTGTTCTTCGTCGTCTCAACAACCATTTTTTCATCATCTCAACCACTTTTCTTTAGCATTTTAAGAAGTTTATCACATTAACTTTGATTCCTTTTTTTAGTTTGTATTTACATTTCTTGTCTCTTCTCAAGTTTAAGATTGATTTTTTTTAATACTCCTTCATGAGTCAGAAACTTGAGGTGTGTTGTTTTGTGTGTTATTACATTATGACTTATGCCATAAAGTTAGAAGGTATGTGTTAGGAAGAATTCATGAAGGTGGACAATATGTAAGAAATAAAGGTTAAATGTCTTTTGTACATGTGGATATGTAAATCGATAAGTTTATACGTTGTACACGTGGATAAATATTCAACATAGTACACATGTACACACCAATTTTTGTACACCACCACATAGGTCACACAATTGATTGAGTCGGGTTGAATAGGAGATCCACGGTGGTGAATCGTTATTTGGTGGTGGATCACTTTGGAATGAGCCGGTGATGACGAGGGGTTTCACTTGTTTTCTTATCAAATTGTTTCTTATATAGGTGGTATATTAATTTAATAATAAAGAATATACACTTGTGAAGATGTACACGTTTAGCATTAGTCACATACACTGTAATTATTGGAATGTGTACACATTTTGTGTACACACGGATACTACATATCTGAAAATATTTAATATCTGAAGATGTACACGTTTAGCAGATTGTGTTCTCCCATGTAATAAAAACATGAAAAGTGACCTGCAATGAAAATTGCAAGCCATTCCAAACCGAAGAGAAACGTATAAAAAACATCATTAACAATTTAAATATTTGAAACCATTAGTTTTTTTCTCTTTCACATGAGTCCTTACCCTATACATGAGTTTTTCTCTCTTTCACATGTACGTGTGTACACTAATATTGTGTACACTACGCTTACTCGCTCTCAATCCTACACATGTACGTGTGTACACTAATATTGTGTACATCCATGTGGTCATCCGATGTACTCGTGTACACGAATATAATGTACATAAAACCTATTCTATCCAAAAATAAATATTCAACTTATATTGTGTTCAGCTTGAAACGTTCTACATTTTCCATGAATTTTGCAAACACTCAACATGTAAACACATACACAATTCTTCTTAACTCTCAAATTCTTAGAAAACAAACAAAAAAATATGAAAGATTAACAATAACAGAATTTCCTCCTACACATGAATTTTCTCACTTTCTCATGTACATGTGTACACTAATATTTTGTACATTCATGTGGTTACCCAGTGTACTCGTGTACACGAATATAATATACATAAAAGATAGTGCAATTGACATGATACATCTTATCACATGTGGGATTTTAAACTTAACGCGAACTAATTCTTATTCAAATGTTTTATTTGTACTCATCAATCTGGTGCTTTCTCGATTGATGCAACTAAACCTAAAAAAGTTGAATCTACTTTAGATCTGTAAATTTTCATTTAAAATAATTAAAAAATGATGAAAACCAGTGAAAAAATCTGGAGAGAAGTGAAGACGGCCATCTTTTAAGTATATAAATCGCAGGTAGGTTACAAGAAAAGAGATGATGATAAAATTACAAGTTTATCTTTCCTTTTAAAAAAATGTACATGTGAATATTTGTTATCCGTTGTACATGTGGACATCCGAACATAGTATCCACATGGATAATAAAACATATGTACATGTGATTGTTATTTAGTAGTATATATGTAGTGTACACATATTTTATTGGTCTTTTATTTCTAGGTTTTTTCTTTTGACTACTTAACATTTTTTTAAATAGACAGTAATGATATACACATATCAAATCGCATGAAATTGCAAGTCATTCCAAACTGAAGAGAAACTTATAAAAACATCATTAACAATTTAATTATTTGAAACCATGAGTTTTTCTCTCTTTCACATGTACATGTGTACACTAATATTGTGTACACTACGCTTACTCGCCCTCAATCCTACACATGAATTTTCTCACTTTCTCATGTACATGTGTACACTAATAATGTGTACATCCATGTGGTCACCCGATGTACTCGTGTACACGAATATAATGTACATAAAACTTATTATATCCAAAAATAAATATTCAACTTATATTGTGTTCAGCTTGAAACGTTCTACATTTTCCATGAATTTTGCAAACACTCAACATGTAAACACATACACAATTCTTCTTAACTCTCAAATTCTTAGAAAACAAACAAAAAATATGAAAGATTAACAATAACAGAGTCTCCTCCTACACATGAATTTTCTCACTTTCTCATGTACATGTGTACACTAATATTTTGTACATTCATGTGGTTACCCAGTGTACTCGTGTACACGAATATAATATACATAAAAGATAGTGCAATTGACATGATACATCTTATCACATGTGGGATTTTAAACTTAACGCAAACTAATTCTTATTCAAATGTTTTATTTGTACTCATTAATCTGGTGCTTTCTCGATTGATGCAACTAAACCTAAAAAAGTTGAATCTAATTTAGATCTGTAAATTTTCATTTAAAATAATTAAAAAATGATGAAAACCAGTGAAAAAATCTGGAGAGAAGTGAAGACGGCCATCTTTTAAGTATGTAAATCGCAGGTAGGTTACAAGAAAAGAGATGATGATAAAATTACAAGTTTATCTTTCCTTTTAAAAAAATGTAAAAGTGAATATTTGTTATCCGTTGTACATGTGGACATCCGAACATAGTGTCCACATGGATAATAAAACATATGTACATGTGATTGTTATTTAGTAGTATATATGTAGTGTACACATATTTTATTGGTCTTTTATTTCTAGGTTTTTTCTTTTGACTACTTAACATTTTTTTAATAGACAGTAATGATATACACATATCAAATCGCATGAAATTGCAAGTCATTCCAAACTGAAGAGAAACTTATAAAAAACATCATTAACAATTTAATTATTTGAAACCATGAGTTTTTCTCTCTTTCACATGTACATGTGTACACTAATATTGTGTACATTACGCTTACTCGCCCTCAATCCTACACATGAATTTTCTCACTTTCTCATGTACATGTTTCTCACTTTCTCATGTACATGTGTACACTAATATTATGTACATCCATGTGGTCATCCAATGTACTCGTGTACACGAATATAATGTACATAAAACCTACTCTATCCAAAAACCAATATTCACATAATATTGTGTTCAGCTTGAAACACTCTACATTTTTCATGAATTTTGCAAACACTCAACATGTAAACACATACACAATTCTTCTTAACTCTCAAATTCTTAGAAAACAAACAAAAAAATATGAAAGAAAATAATAACAGAGTTTCCTCCTACATATAAATTTTCTCTTTTTCTCATGTACATGTGTACACTAATATTGTGTACATTCATGTGGTCACCCAATATACTCGTGTACACGAATATAATATACATAAAACCTACTTTATCCAAAAATCAACATTCACATAATATTGTGTTCAGCTTGCAACGCTCTGCATTTTCCATGAATTTTGCAAACACTCAACATGTAAACACATACACAATTCTTCTTAACTCTCAAGTTCTTAGAAAACAAACCAAAAATATGAAAGATTAATAATAATAGAGTTTCTTCCTAAGAAAAGTCCATGAAATCATAAAACAAAAACTTAAGGCTTTAAACTCATTGTTAAAA